CGTCGCGCGTGCGGCAACTAGCGACGGCGCGGCGCGCGAACTCCATTGTTCGCCTTTTGAGGCACATAACATGTTAAGACCGCGGAGAGTAGAAACTACCAGTTTTTTCCGGGGCTCAGCCCCGGACCCCGCAAAAACGAATTCCCCTTTGTTTTTTTTGCCGAAAACGATTTCTTTGTCATTTTACAACCTCGTGCCGGGCCCTGACTCAGAGTCAACTCCGAGTTTCGCGCCCGCCTGAAACGAGCACCAAACTCAGAGTTAACGCGCTGCGAGCTGCGACGAGCTGCGCTTTTCGTCGTGTAGCGTCTCGCGTGGAACGAGTTACGCTATATTTCCATACTTGGCGCAAACTACGTATTGCGGGGTATCCTGCCATATCACCCTTTCCCCAGTTTGGTTTGTTAATGCAGGTGTTAATGTTCCCTGAAAGATGCGTGTTAACTCGGAGTTGACTCTGAGTTACCTCTGAGTTTGAGCTGCGCATTTCGACAGGTTTACTACCGACCCAGGTTATATATAAGAGTCGCACCAATGCACGAACCACTAAAACGGAAATTATAAAAATCCCTCCCCCCCCCCCCCAGCGTTTTCGTTTACCTACCGTAGGCATGACATAAAGGCTCTACCAAGCATAATTAGCAACATATTCGTGATTAATCATGTCAAGTAAACCCTGAGAGCTAAGTTTTTGCGAATTCTGAAGCTTCCCAATATTGGGCCACTCCTGTGAAGTAATCTTCAAACATCGTTAACTCTATTCCAGAAGTGAATTAGCTATATCTTTTTGTACTCAGCAAAGCACTACTCCCCATTTTCTCATAACATAGATCCTGCGCCAGATAACCACCAAACGGGTGAGGGAACGAAAGCCGCCAGTTTGAGCCGCCTTTCGCGGCCAAATGGTCCTTTCGCAGTGTTGTTGCATGTCGTTCCAGGACCAGCAGTCTGCGGAGGCGGCTCAAACTGGCGGCTTTCGTTCCCCCACCCCCACCAAACTATGGAATAGAGGTCAGCCAAAATAATGTCTTTTCGCTCGCAGTGGTCCTGCTTCCAGCACCTGTCGCTCAAGCAAAATAAGACGAACTTAGCTCTGATCACTTCCATAAAAACAAGGAGATTTTGGCTACTGAACTTTATATAAAGTGTTCGCTAATATCCTCCTTAAAGGTAAGTTAATGGGATGTGGCACAATCTCAGAAAAGGCTGTGTCTGTCACATCTTTTCCGTTGCCATTGCTTATACTTCTTTACACAGCAAGAACTTCATTTGAAATCGTTTTTCTAGGGAAAGTTATAATCGTTTTCTTGCCTATGCAAATGGAATTTGAGCATTTGAAAAATCGTGACGATGGCGCGACCGCGCGCGACTCACACGCACCTCTGGCTACCGCTTTTCTTGGCTTTCAACTCTACTTGAATGGTTTTTCTGCTTACGTATGATAGTTTTTAGATACTGGAAGTGACTGAACTGAGCCTTGAGGTGATACCTCTTGTATGAGTGTTTTACGCTCTTGTGGACGCAAAGACCGCTGTCAAATCCGTCCTCACGATTTTATAATGAACAATGCCGCGAGAATATTGAGGCTACGGTAACATGTTAAGTTTGCGTAGTTATGTGAATTGCGAAAAGAGGCGACTAAAATGTAAGCTCGAGTTATTTGTAACTAGTACGTGAAATTGCACACTAAGCCCTATTAGCGACGGCACCCATACTAGTACTTCCCAGTAAAACATTTTCTAGCCTAACAAGATGTAGAAATGTGTTCAAATGACTCGACGGTATGTATTTGATAGCCTAATCCTTGTAATTCACATTGCTCCTGTTTTACCAATCTAGAGGTTATTTGAAGTAGCACTCGTCCTGTGAGCGAAAATGTACTTCCTTAAAATAAGTGCAAAAAGAAGTAATTAACTTACCTTTGGAACAGAATAACACGTTTGAAAATGACCATCTCACTCGGGTGGCGCAACATTTGAAACATCATTCGCTGAAACTCGGCCGGCAGGGGTTATTTGACCTGCTAATTACGAAAGCGATGCTCTTTTGCTTTTGTAGATCCTTCAGCGCCCTCACCCCCCCCCTCTGCACCAATTTCCACCCACATAGCTGAAAGTTCTTAAAAACTCGATGAAGTTGGTTGCATAGGTGCGACGATAAGGCGAGAATGACTCCTCCAGGGTGAAGGGGGTCACAGTGGTCGCAGCCCCTCCAGGGTGAAGGGTGTTTCACTTGATCGAGAAATTGTAAAATGTCGAACCGAGGGGGGAGGGGGAGGAGAGGGAGGGGTAGGGGAGTGATGGTGTTCTCTTATCATTCTCCCTAATCAACGTTTTATCATCACCTCTTTGTGAAAATTGAAGTAGGATGGAAATCCTGCAAAGACTGTCTTGAATATACCATAGAGTAGAAGATGTGTATGCAAGAACATCTGTTTCGGAAATAAGGCAGACAATTTTTGAGTATTCACAAATTTCTAAGAGAAAAAATTTATAACTGCTGTAGATGGACAGCAACGTCACCAAGGAAACTGCTTTCAGAAACATTTTTTCTTTCGCTTTCACGAGTTATACAGTTTCTCTGAGAGTTCGTCTGGAGTTATTTCAAAAAAGTGCCTGGCGAAGCTGGTGGGAAGTGATTTTCAAATATTTACGAATTTGTTAAATAAAAAATCTACAACTTCTGTAGATGATTCAATACGTTGAGATGGTTAATATCGGAACCACCTTGTCCTCCGCTTTCCGAGGATATATAGTTTGCCTGGAGTCTTCAAAAAAGTGCCTGGTGAATAATTGGGTTGTGATTTCCGGATACTTTCGAGTTTTTAGCATAAAAAAATTCATAACTTTTGTAGATGAACAGGTTCTACACGGAGACGGTCGTTTTTGGAACCCCCCTCGCTTTCCGCTTTCAGAAAACATACAGCATGTTTGAGATTCTTCCAAAAAAGTGCCTGGGTGAAGGGTATGCTTAGTAATGATTTTCGAGTTTTTAACATAAAAAAATTCATAACTTTTGCAGATGAACATCTTGTACGCCGTGATAAACAACGTTGGAACCGTCACGTCCTTCGTTTTCAAAAAATATATACTTTACCTGGGGTCCGTTGAAAAAAGTGCCGGGTGAAGGGTGGGTGAGACTTTTGTGATGAGAGTGCTCAAGTAGACGTCTTTTCACAATGGTAAAAAAGCCACCACTTAAGCACTCCCATTATAAAAGTCTCACCCACCCTTCACCCGGCACTTTTTTCAACGGACCCCAAGCAAGGTATTTTCTGAAAGCGGAGGACGAGACGGTCCAACGATGTTTATCGCGGCGTACAAGATGTTCTCACAAAAGTTATGAATTTTTTATGCTGAAAACTCGTAAGTATCCATAAATCACTAGGTAACCCTTTACTAGGTATATGAATGGACTCGAATCAAACAATTTATTCCCCGAAACCAGAAGGGAGCGTTGTACCGTTGTACGGAACTTTCCTCGACATTGCTGTGCAACTACAAAAGCTACCATTTTTTTTCTTCTGGAAATTCGTGAATCCCTATGAATCTTCTTCCTTCTTTCCGATACACAAACAATTCCCGTACAAACATCTCCTTTGCTTAGCCTTACCTCACGCTTAGCCTTACCCCACTGTTGATTTTTTTCGGCTTTTGGTGGAGGGGGTCACCTTGGTCCCGGTTCAGGGGTGGAGAGGGGGTGAGCAAATTCTCACACTATCGCACCTATGGTTGGTCGGCAACTAGTTTTTACACAAGCGAGATATTGGGAGCGATCCAGATAGAAAGCAGTTGATGTGAATTTGAATGCTGTGACCAAAAAACTCTCATTCACATACCGGAAAGCGATTGATGTACCCAAGGATAACATCTTTATTTCTTTTAAAATCAACAAAGTAAAAACAAAGTGATTGATCTACTTTCTACATCACTGGCATGACTAACAATATGAAAGCAAAATGTTTGATGTTCTACATGTACGAAAAACTTCAAGCAGATGAAGCGAGCGCGATAACTTAGCAGCTGGCTCTACACCAAGCTCGAATAGATCGAATTTCAGTTTGATTTGAAAAGAATTAAAATAAAACAATCGATTAAAATTCATTCGAAACTCCGTTTTTCGACTAATCCAATTTTCAAATTTTATTTAAAACCCGTTTTTTAATCATTCGAATTTTCCGTCTTTATTCGAAACCCTTTTTTTGATTATCGAAATGAAAAATTCGAGTTTGGAATTTGAATGCGAATGCATGATGTTTTATTAAATGATTTTCGGACTTTCATTCGTTCAGACCCAAGTTGTATTGGTACACTTAATCTCCGACTGCTCGCTCTCTTATCTGAAAATAAGATTATTCGAAAATATTGCCCAATACGGCATAACGCTTTGATTTTTTAGAGCGACGAAACTTAGACGATGCATGGAGTTAGAAACAAAAAAGGAGCAAAGTGAAAAGACGACTTGACCTTAGTAGTTTAGTTGTACCGCTCGAATTCGAATCATTTCATGTGAACATGTGTGTCATTGCACACACTGTTTACCTTTGGTGTTCCCATCCTGGATTCCTGGAACAGAAATCCTTTCAGGTAAATGTTTCCGATGTGTTTTCAGCAATTTCTTTCCCTTTTAGGTATTAATCACCGCAAAGTGATGTAAGCTATAATAATCTATCAGTCCCTTGCGTTTGCGTGTAAATCCGGCATGAAGACGCCACATATGGACGGTGTGTGCAATGCACGTATGATCATGTGAAATGATTCGACAATATGTGCAGGTAGGCGGGCAGGCACCCAGGGTACGCAGTCCTCATCCGGCATTTCAAATTTTGGTGCATTGACACATGCCTATCAAGGTTTCTACAAATGGCGTCTATCATACCCAGCTGCTGCGTAGTCTGACCCAACTCAAATAACAGATAACGCGGTACAACAGTAGCATTCCGCTGACGATTTCTTTATGCTGCTTCAGTGAAAAACTGATCTTCTAGTTACTCGTTACAGATAATCAATAAGGCAGCAACTTGGGAAGATGCTCAGAAGCAGTGCAGACAGCTGGGGGAAGGCCATCAGTTGGGATCATTTGAAGACAAGAAAGAAGCTGAATACGTAATGGGTACACATCTTTAGTCATACTACGTCTTAAAGAATCAAGTGTTTATCAAATGCTATTTTGCTCATTGCCTTGTTTTTATGATTGAATATTGAAGGAGAGGCAAGGAGAATCTTTGGCTGTAAGAAAGAAGCTTGCTATGGAACTCTATGGATTGGTGGCAAACGGAAATCAAGATCGTAAGTGATATTTGAATCTACACCAGTATGTGACCAGATTATAAGCCTGGAGTACAAAAGTTCTCAAATATTCCAAGGATCTGAGACACTAACGCCTCTTGAACAAGCCGCTACAGTGAATCATGATAACTTTCTCAAGGTACCCACACACATCTCTATGGTGCGACAATGTGATTCGAGACATCACTTTGAGTTCTCTATTACTGCTGAAGGGCAACGGCAGATAGCCACTCTGTCAGAGCAAAAACTCACTTCCTAACTTCTTCGCTTACGGGCTTATCCGCTACGCTGAGTTCAAAAATTACCTCAGAAAGAGCAAAAAGTGCAAGAACTTTTTGAAGCTCTTCGATCTAAACTTGGGATGGAGCAGTTTCCGCTGACACTGAGAAACAGAATCGCTGTCCATCATCTTAACTGTAGCGCATGCACAGGCTACTTGCAGTCTGAGAACGTCAGGTCCCCCCCCCCCCTCGAACGCAAGTCTATCAACTTCAACCGAATTTCTCGCATCTGATGCAACATTCTTCACTTGTGTAAGGGCGTGCCCGAGGACATCCACTTCAACATAAATGTAAATAACACCTACCCTTACCTTTGGACTCTGCCTTTGAATGAGGGCCTATTCAACATAATCTTACGGAGGACACAACTTACTCTAACATCAACACTGCAACATATCAAATTCGTGCAGGTTCCGCTTACCATCAAACAATTTGATACTCAAGATAACAGATGTGGCGAACTGCAAACTTTCATATACCTTGTTGTGCACTTCAAGACGTGTCTTATCAAACTACGGAGGCACACCATGACGCCGCAAGCAAGGAACTGGCCCCAGAAGAACAATTCCTACTGCAATGCAGTAGCCCGCCAGTCTGTCATCGACAGCTTATGACGAACTACCCTTGCGGTAGCAAGCACTTTTTTAGATCATGCGTGTGCGGGTTTCTCAAAGGCTTTTGATGACTCGGCCGCTCGTCAATATGTGACAGATGCGCCCTCCAGCTCCCCACTTCAGTGCAAACCGTTCACCTAACAAGAAAGGCGGGGTCCCCTTTGAATTGGTCCAACCTATCCAGTAGGTGGTGACACTCGAAAAGATGCTACTGGGTCTGCCACGTTATAAAACTGCACAATCTGATGCCCTTAACGCTAGACCACATTGCGCCTTCACGTATCCTGCGGTGTTGGGATTGAATTACACCATAATCGGCGCCTGGGCACATCATAATCAGTGGCACTTTTTTCACCAAGGTGCCAGCACTCTTTTCGAACACTTTGAGCTTGATTACGATGATAATGAATATGTGGTGTGAAATATATAGTGCCATATCGGATTCACAATCGAGCTGTGGCTCATTGCTTCAATCAACATCGGCGCTTAGATCCACCATGCTATCATAAAAACACTACAACACATTAGAAAGAGCACAACCGGCCAAAAGTTATTCCTAGGGGCCAGACATATGTATCAAAAAAACCCTTGAGACGGCGTCGCCGACGTGTGTCAAGCAGGCGATCTCAGATCACCTCGTATGCAGCAGGGGCATTCTTTCAAAGATACGGGTTAGGAGTAACGATTTTTCGTAAAGTGATACCGTTAACAGTCTATAAGAGGCAGCTCCCTTCAGCACTCTAGTCGCAGTGTTACCTTTTGCATCGAGTCATCTATCTGCCGCTACCCACTTCCCCCTCCTCCCTACCCTTACCCTGCCGCCGTGCCACTAAGCACCGGAGAGTTTCTGTGGCTTCAAAATTCGGACGCGGTATAACTCCTGACCCTAGCCGTCTTCCACATGTTGTACATCGCGTTAGTTGGGGTGGCGCTGCTTGATCGATTCAATTGAGGATGGATGCTGAAACCCACTGCTAACAAGTTGCTAGTTGCGACGAAAACTGACTATTGTGCAAGGTGAGGTGATTATAATAGTCGTGAGGGGACGGGTGCACAAGGACTGGCACATCTTGCACGGCGAAATTCGTAGAAACAATGGCGCCATCCGCGACCCATTAAGCTGTTTTTGAGCATTTAAAAGACAGCGCCCAGCGAAGAAGCCGATTTTGAGACTTTGTGCTTATCTGGGCCTATTCGCTATGCTGAATCCAAAAATCCATACTGGAGAGCGCGTAAACGGCGAAAAAGGACTGTCATGCAGGAGAGGAATCAGCAGATTCCGGGATAATCCACTCTGTGAAGTCATCCTCCCATTTGAGCTATCTTCTGACTTCCGGCCCTGACATCGCCACGGCACAGTGTGAAGGCGCGACTTGAAATTAAAGAGGATCGTTCCTGAAGCTGGGAGAGAGAGACTTGACAACGTGGAAGACCCTGCCCATCTGCTGATTTCTCTCCTGCATTAGAGAACTTTTTCGCCGTTTTCGCGCTTTCCAGTGCGGATTTCTAGATTCAGCGCAGCAAATAGACTCAGACAAGCAAAAAATCTCAAAATCGACTTCTTGCCCTGAAACAGCGTTTGAGGGGCAGTTTTTTGCTTTCGATGTCATGGTATTCTCTGCACTCAAAGAACCAACAAAAAAACTCACTTCACATGAAGTCCAAAATCCCACAAACCCAATTTTGCTAACGTCAGCTCTGCGAGGCCTTCTGATTTTTAGATGCCTGTCTAATATACTTGGGACCGAATCGAATAATTATTCGATCACTCGAATAAATCATTCGAATGCGAATGATTCGAAAAGTCGAATATTCGAAAATCTGAGATTTCGAATAAAATTCGAAAGTCGAATATTCGAAATTTTCAGTTTTCGAATATATTCGATAGTCGAATATTCGAAAGTCTTCATTTTCGAATATTATTCGGAAGTCGAATATTCGAAAATCTTCACTTTCGAATATTATTCGATAGTCGAATGTTCGAGGGTCAATCATTCGATCATTCGATGTCCATCAAATATTCGAATATTCGTTGTGCACCGAATATTCGGAAATTCGATAAGAATTGGCTATTCGAAAATTTGATAAGCACCAAACTCGAGAATTCGATATGCATGGCGTATACGGGATGTCTTAAAAGTATCTACACACCGTTTGATTGCTAATATTCTCAAATTCTTTTGCCAATCTCTGGGTAACATCCAATGGGATGGCTTCACCTTATAAATACAGCAGAAAGCGAATCACTCATGTTTTTCTTATTGTGTGTTATCATAGTAGGAAACTTCAGCTAATAGACCAACTGCAAAATAAGACATCCAAAAAAAGTGTCCCCAAAAAAGGTTCAAAATCTGTGCAGCAGTGTTTTTCGTATGCTGATTTTACTACGCACGAGTTTTCAAGCTTTTTAAATGACAATCACATTTTTGAAAGGCGTTGCAAAACACTTGTTATGGTATCGTTTGTCAACCAGCAAGATTCCCATAGGTACCACGTCATTTCGTGCCTTTCGCTATTTTGGACGTGTTAACCTCGGGCAGTTCCGTTGAAATCTCAGGAGAAACGTGTCAAAAAGAGCGAAAGGCAGCGTCGCACCACGTACGCACGCTGGTTCACATGAGAACTTTTCTGGGCACACAGGATACCTGGCGTAACTTTTGAAAAAAGCATTACGGTTGAGTGCAAATTCTACATAAAGTAAATGTCTTCAGAAATGTGAGGCAAGACCTTCGGCCCATTTGATTCTTTTTCTTGGGGGAATTGCTCTTAATGTTCTGAAACCCGCTTCAATCTTACGGTAATTTTACAACATTAAAAGCGATTGATAAATCGCCCCATACTCTAAGTTGATACCAGCCTACAGATCTACATAGCGTTGGGACCGCTGTATATCCAATCGCAACTCTCAGTAAGGGTATATAATCTTTTTTGAAGTAAAAATCTCTTCATAACCGTCACAGGAGTAGCTTTTAGGTTCCTAAGTCTCTTCACGTCACGACTAAACCGTTTTTCCATCGTAAATTGTAACATAAGAATGTATCCATTCTTTAGCACTTACATGAAACAATTTATTCTTAGTGTTTTGGCCTTTCATAGGCAGTCTTAATGACGAAAATTATTCGATCAGTATTCGGAAATCGAATGATATTCGAAAATCGAATAACATTCGAGAACCGAGTAATATTCGAAATTCGAATAACGAATGATATTCGATATTCGAATATTATTCGATTCGAAATTCTCATTTTCGAATAATATCCGATAGTCGAATATTCGAAATTTCCGATTTTCGAATAATATTCGAAAGTCGAATATTCGAAATTTTCAATTTTCGAATAATATTCGACAGTCGAATATTCGAGAATTTCGATTTCCGAATATTATTCGATATTCGAATATTCGAAATTTTTTATTTTCGAATATATTCGATATTCGAATATTCGAAAAAAATTTCGAATTTCCCCAAGTATACTGTCTAAGTATAGTGATTTGATGAGAGAAGAATTGTTCTAGTTGTTGTGGAAGAGACAATACGAACGGCATCAGGAGTTTGATCAACAAAGAAATCAGAGTTCTTTCAGCCCCTTTACCTGGATATTTGACAAAACATTGGCTGCTATTGGTCCCTATAATAACTTCGACGAAGGAGAGCCGGATGGAGATAGGCGAAGGTAGGATAAGCTTCTTCGAAGGTTTGCAAGATGTCGTTGCCTATGGGCAAATCTTAATTCCACTGTTTCGCTCCCACTTCTTATTTCCAGCAAAACTGAGGAGTGTTTGGCTATTTACATCAACGAAGCTACCTATTTAGATCAACATTGCTTTGATGACGTTAAGATAAGAAAGGTCGTTTAGAAAACTGGAAATCCATAAAAATATTGCATATTTACAGGAAAGCTACTACGCTATTCGAGGATTTGTCTGCACAGCGGTCAAGATCGTTAAGCGTGAATTTTACTGAGCAGTTTCAAATATGTCGCCAGAGACCACAACCATCCACAATTAGGGCAAACCATTGCCTTTAAAGTGACTGTTCTTTCGAATAAAAATTGGATAGCCATTGCTATGCGTGTCGATGGTTAGTAAACTTTCATTTGTTTAGTAAACTTTCATTTGTAGCTTCTTCAGCTTATATTAGGTGGCGCAAAATTTTGCCAGTTTTTTTTTCAAATGCACCCGCAAATTCAATCAAGTGCAGTTACAAAAGTATTCGATTTGTATCCGATAAAGACTTTCTTTCTCTTCTTAGCAATTATATTCGTGATGCAAATCATAAACGGGTACTTGAATAATCGCCAGAGTTTACAACCCTCCTTTACATGTCTGGGTTTCGCTAATTTGCGCAATTTTTGTATGAGACTATGGAGGGTGCTTTGACAGCTTGCTATTAGGGCATATATTTTTGCCGATTGTGCAAATTCTCGTATTACTTGATGTTTTTGAAAAAAACGATTTCCTCAAAAATCAAGTTCTATATTCGGCCTTTTATATCCTCTAATGGTACACAGTTCAATAATACTCAATGCAACTCTTTATCCTCACTCAACAGTTATCCTTTTCTTTGCGATACATGCGACAGACAAAAACCATATTTCTCAATTTTTAGAATGAGCTTCTTACACTTTACATTCCACAATCTCATACTTTGAAGCGATAACCGTGCAATTATTTTGTAAGATCAGTGATAGTAATAACCAAGTTCTGGAATCCCTTTGCAGTGTTCGGTGCAACTAGGCGTTACCATGTGATTTTTTCAGAACTCAGTACTTTCAAGAATTTGAAGAAGATAAATCTATAATATTAGGGTGCCTCATGATTTTTACCGTTTTTCATATCCTGCGATAATTTGTATTCTTCTTTTCTGAATTGGGGAGTGCGGCACCATTCAAAGGAGCAAAGCAAGCTCCACCTTAACTTTTGCTCAAATTTTTTTAGATGAATTTCGAAGCGGAATACAAAAGATCCAAATGACCCGAAAAGTCGAGGAAAAATCATATTTTTACCTAAGAAGTTCCTATTGGCTTCTTACTTGCTCGTGCATGTATACTTTCCACATCTGAGGCGCTATCAATCTTCTATATAGGGGTTCCTGTACAGGTAACAGTCCGTGCAGGAGCGAGTACTGGCGCCCTCGGTACACGAAGCAAGCTAGTGATCGGGCTCCTGTCTATTGGAGACTATAGTCCGATCTGGCTAGTTCGGCCATGTCGGGTACGGCAGTCGGGCAGAGAACCGACCTGTGGAGATCGGGCTCTGCTGCCCGACTGCCCGACATGGCCAAACTTGCCAGATCGGACCACATTTTAAAAATTGATGATTGACGGTGGGCTCTCGTCGTCCGGACCCTCGTTAATCTATATATATATATATATATATATATATAAAACTTAATGTCTGTGAGGATGTTCGTTTAGTTGTTCGTTCGTTATAGAAACGCGCGCCACTGAACCGATCCGGCTGAAACTTCGCACACATATGTTTTCGACCCCGGCGGTTGTTTAGAGCTACTTTCCGCGGCGATTCGCCGGGCCATTCTATCGATTTATTGATTTGTTTACTCAAACCTAAGAAAATGAAGGGTCACCATGGCCCACCGATCATTTTTACATATAAGCATGTAAGCAGGGGCGGTAAAGTCCATTTCAGTCTTAAAGTCGGTAGGGTGCGGCAATTAGTTCGGAAGCGCTTTATGCGCATGTTAGAAGAAATCTAGAGGCGTAAGTTTACAAGTTCTGTTGGCTTAACTAACTTGAAGTCCTTGAAGTCTCGGGTAAGACCGGGGCCACCAGCTAGTAATTGATAAGGAAATTGATAAATACCGCTCCTGGGCGGTATTATGTATCATTTGTATCAAATGAGCTTTTTTGGAAGCTTTCTAGATCCGCATTCAGTGGAGAAGTGGGAGGGCCTGGAACGGGGAAGGTGGGACGCAGCTTTTTCCGGCTTATCTTCACTGAATTCGGATCTCGAAAGCTTTGGAAAAAGCTCATTTTCGCCATTTCCATGCGCTGAAATACCTAGATATGGGTTTCTCATGGCGAGAAGGCCTGAAAAGGTGAAAATTTGGAAAACGAAATTCCCCCGAGACACTGCCTTCAAAAGTTCACAAACTCCAGATGTCTTCAATGCCTCCAGAACTCCAGATGCCTGTCCTACACTGGGGAGGCGACGATATTTACCTGTTGATGGCGTGTCTCACCAGAATTTGTTTGTTGAGATCTCTGCATATTGCATGCCTTTTCGTTCCTGTCTAACTCTATACTGGTCCGGATCGACTTAGAGCGGTTGCCTGTTCAGGGATTCTCTAAGAAAAAAATGTGGAGACCCGCACTACCCCAACTTTGGAACACTGCCTTTGAGTTGCTTATTTTTATCATGACTAGAACTCGTAAAACACACAAAGCCAAGTACACCAAAATAGGCCGAAAATACGAAGAAGCCATCTTTTTCGAGTTTTTTGCACTGAATTTGATTTTTCAAAAGCTATTGCTTGTATTAGGTTGCTGCATAAGATCTGTCCGATTTGAACTTTTTGAGTTCAAAATGTCATAACTTCTTTCAAAGTCAACGTTGTTCCAAGTTCTTCTAGTTCTAGTTCTAGTTCTTTTTATGATGGGTGGTTCCTTGGCTATCAGATGCGTATTGAAACTTGCAAAAATCTTTGTTAAGGAAGAAGCAAGAACTCAAAAACTTCACAGCGTTTTTCTTTAAACCTGTCTTTTTTGACATGGCAATGCTCCCTTATGAGAATTGATAGACATTTTGTCTAACAATGGATAGAAAGGGGATTTTTCGTAGATTTATTTGCACCAAAAGAGCCCATAAGGTCTTTGTTGTCGAGAGACTTTTTTGACCGAACAAAAAATTAGCCACTTTTTGACCTCGCTTCAGCGCATGTGTGCATGCCTATTTACGAATTATGAAAATTTTACAACTGACGTGAGCGCCGAAAAGAAATTGGTGGATGAGTCCTGATAGCTCTTGCTTTACCCTAGCACCTTCAACTTTGAACTCATCGATTACTTCTATTCGCAAAAAGTTATTGCTTGTAAAACATCATTACAAAAAATTGATGTTCGACAACAAATTTTACTAGCAAGACGTTTTCTTCATGAAACTGAGCTTCTGCATATATTAGCATTCTACACCCTCATTCCGCAACCAATGAAAGAACTTGACTTTAAGGGCGCATTGTGAAGATTTCCATGCAAGAACATATTTCTAGAGTGAGAACGTACCTCGACCACTTGGAGATCTTAGGCCTGAAATGTACTTATGCTAAGAAATTTATTGAAATTTGATATGCATTAGAAAGAGCAAGAAAAGCACTTTCCAGCGATACTAAGAGTACCGTATTAGAGATAAAATTCTCTTAGAACAGCTATTTCAAACATAAGGCAAAAAAATCCGGACAGAACTCATGCAGTAACCATAGGTAAAACCAAATATATGGTGTTACTTTCAAAGGTTCATTTATACGTTTGCGTACGAAACAGTTCACCACAGTTTTGGCAAAAACATGAAAATCATAGTTCTTCTCCATTTCTAACAAAGGAATAAATAAACAAATCGATGCACAAACCGGATGTGGATAGTACATGCTCGAGCAAGGAGGAGGTTTGTAGGAATTTTTTGAAAGGAGATATGTTATTTTATTTTTTCGCCTTTTCTGGCATAGAGATCCTCTTGAAAATCTGCTTTAAACTTTATGTGGAACAAAATTTTAGCATATGTTTGGAAGATGTAGATCTTGCTTTGCTCTATCGAATAATACCGCAAGCTCCATACATGGAACGAGAAGAATATGAGTTGTTACAGGAGGAATTAGAAACGGTAAAAATTACCTAATGATTTACAAAATTTTGCCCTGCATGCTAGCTACTGAAGCTCCTTCAAAATTTTATATTTATCCTGGAATGAGGGAATTTAGACATTGCAAGATGAAAGGTTGTAAGTTTCGACCTTATATCCGCATCCGTCGCATGAGTTGCATCGTGAGCATAGCTGCTGGAAAGGAAGAGATTTTGCTTCGAGTTGTAATTGAGGTATTTGCTCAATTTTATGGATTACGATGGGTTCAAAGAAGTGACACAAAACTATTGCCCCGACAATTGCATGTTATACAAATCCTTGCAACACAGACCATTTTTTTACATGCTTGACAGTAAGCTTGAGAAAACATTGTTTTAGAATTGTGCGAGTGACTTGTTTCTACTTATTATCTCACTTAAGTGATTCTGCATTACTTGGAAAAGTAGAAATCGCGCCGTGGTCACACTCCCCCTCCCCTTTTTGGGGTAGAGGAACGAACACCTCAATTAGGCACCGCCTCCGCGAGCTGCTGGTCCCTTCGTCCTACTGTTGAGCATCGTGTTAGGACTAGTGGTCCATGAAGGCGGTGCCTACCTAATTGGGGTGTTCGTTCCTCTACCCCTTTTTTTATATAGCAAGGGAACAGTGGCGTACCCAGGATTTCGGCTCGGGGGGGGGGGGGGGCGACAAAAAATTTTTTCTAATGAAGGTGCGTGGCGTCAGCCACGCATTACGAAAAAATTTTTAGGTTGCTTCTCAAAATTTTCGCGGGTTCCCAACGCCCCCGAAAAAAAATTTTCACAAGGCTAATTTGTATTTTTAAGACTTTTTAAAAATTATTTTTATTATTTACAAGTAAAGACGAGTCCTTTGCACATTTTTATAACACATTTAAGTAACTTTCAAAAATTTCGCGACCCATTCTCGGGAGGGGGGGGGCGCACGCCCCCTCGCCCCCCCCCCCCCCTCGGTACGCCACTGCAAGGGAAGTATATTCGCGAAACTGGGAACTGGGATGTAATGCATGTCATTCGATGCGTCCTGATGAGCTAATTTCGAATCTATTTTTCCGTATCTCCTGAGCTTTTCCACAAAAAGTTATGAGCCGTTAAAAACGTGAAGTAATTGAGATTTTGATGCATAGGATGACTTATAGGGTGTTGAGTGTACTGTCAACGAGGGTGGCGCATGTTCACCGGAAATAAATAGGTGTTTTTGACCAACTATTTAATTTCTGAAGGTGTGGCACTAAATACTGACCATATCTGGAACGCTTATAACTTTTCATAGAGAACTGCTCAGCAGGTACGGAGATAGATTTGCAATCAGCTCAACAGCGTGTTCAATGATTGCATTTCGTTTCAGGTCGCCATTGAGACTTGGATCCTTTCCTAGTAAAAGAGATGAGTTAGCTCAATATGAGAAGCACCCGGAAAACGAGTCTGACGCCCCTCGCTCTCCTCCGCTCGGAAAACATCGCCTCTTCCAGCCCCCCCCCTCACCCCGCAACAACCATCTGGGGTTATCACCAGGGTTGAGCAAGAGGTCAGGCACAAGTCTTCCCAAAACGACCCCCCCCCCCCCAGTGAAAGCCCCTAAACGACCCCTCTGCTTCACCTCCAGGACCTCAGGCTGTGATAATTCGAAGAGATCAGCCGTTTTTGGGAGGTTCTTGTTTTTTGAAGGTCTGTAGGCCGACTTTCTGCGATTACACAGCACACGCAACTTGACGGCAAGTTATGGATTTTGGATAGCCCTACTTTTAGAGCTATAATTCCCACAGGGGTGTATTGTTTGGCTCCAAATTTGCAGTATTGCAAGAAGAGGCTTTGAGTTCAATACTCATAGCAGAAATGGAGCGATTTTTAGATTTTGAAAACAAGTTAATCGGGTCAGGCGCAACCCCTCAAAAGCTCAGGCGGCCTGACCTTTTGTGGGGTTGCGCCTGACCCGATTAACTTTATCATTGAAGAAGCTTTTTTATTCAAGTTTTATGTGAATCGCTAGCACAACCCTCGAAGATTCCACAGTAAGTGTTTGGACTTGATTCGACTTGTTTCGGCCTTGTGGTAATCCGTGGAGTTGAAGCAGTCATGGCGAAAAACGCGCCGGTCGGAATTTTGGCATTATTTCTTACTCCACTATTTGCAAGCGATACAAAGCGCGATTTTTAGCCTAGACTAGTAGGGAACAATACTTTGTTACGAGTACAAAAAAACTGACTTTCCTCACTTTTGAAAACAAGTTAATCATGTTTGAAAATCACGCTTTTTAGTCGTTGAGAAACACTAGATAATGCAGTAAATAATGGTTTGTAGGGCTCATAGAGGTAATTTGACGTGCTCGGAAATGATACCCATTTCACACAGCAAGCTTCCTTGATGAATTTATAATATGTCAAGGTAGAAGATGAAGATTTGAGTTTTGGCCGAAACTTCGATTGTGAAATCAATCAGTATGCTGTTTAAGACCGTTCATTCCTTCAGTACTGGTGAGGTCGCGATATCCACTAAACTAGCGCTTCTCTTCTTCACCTTAATCGTAGTATCTCCTCAATCGAACGAATTCGATTCCTAATCACGACCCCCCCCCCCCTGTCTTACCCCCAGTACGACCCCCCAGGTCGGGCGCGCCTGACCCCACGCTCAACCCTGGTTATCACTAGTCCAGAGTACTGATCATTCATTCTCTGAAAAGGAGACGCGAGTACGCTTTGCGTACATTTGATCAACAAGTTCATGAATGAGTTCTAGCGCGTTACTGTCAGGAATTCGTGAAAGAACTTGTTTAAGCCAGCATGGATCAGCGAGCTCAAACATGTTTTCCATGAATTCTAGTAATAAATTAATCAAAACGCGTTAAAACTCATTCAAGAACTTGTTAATGAATGTACGCAAAGCGTGGCGTCTCATAGAGAATGAATGATAGAAATGTTGGTGAAGAGAGCTTATCCGGCCAATGAAGCCTCACAGCCTTCTTTCGGTTCCGAAGCGTATCATCGGCTCACAAATTGGTGTGGAGTCTGGTTGCGGACTTCCTTGATTTTCAAGCTAAACTTGTCAAACCTCCACGTTATAGCATTGTATTTCGTACTCTCTCGTTAATCTCATCCTTGAAACTAGGGAACCGCAACCGTCTCCACACGAATCTGGGAGTCGATCATAGGTTGATAACTGCGGATTCTCCATTTGCGAAAAACAAGGAAGTAACAAAATCTGCTCCAAGGGCAGATGCATTGGTTATTAGGCATATAGGGTAGACCAGATTTTTGAAGCGAACCGTACAAAATGGGAGATGGCCTCAAGATTACTCGTGGAGTCCTCCTAAACCATTTCCTTCATAAGCTTCATTTGTTCCTTTCTATGTCTGAACTCATAAAAATTCTGCTATAAATAAAGTTTAGAAAATATCACGCTAAAACCCTCACCATAGGCGAAATCATTCCGCTAATATAGTGCGTTTTTTGACGCAGCCGAATGATACTGTAATTGAAAACAGTGTGTACCGACAGCTACTGCAAATCGATCCACGGCAACTCTTATCAGCTGCTTCGTTGTTGTTGATTTTTGTTGTTCTTGTGAGTTTACTGTTCATATATTGCTTCATATTGTTTACAAAAGAATGGACAAAGGTTTCTGTGAGCATTCTAACAATTATACTAAGTCCTTTTCTCCTTTTTCCGACTTTGTCTTGTGGGAAGTGATGACGCATGCCAGACATTCGCAGTGTGCTAGAGAAACCAGTTCTAGAGCTCAATCGGCTCCGGATAGGATAGCTCGAGAAGATTTCCGCTGTGCGCTCGAGACAGTTGTTGCGGCGCTCCGGCGCCCGCATGCGTTGGGCGCCGATTTCGCTTTCGGTGTTTCACTTCGGTGACTCACCATTGATTGGTAATTGTCTCCTTGCGCTTCGACTATCCTCGTAAATTCATCATCAAAACATTTGAGTTACAATTGACACCATTTTGCACTTGTCATTTGAGTATTGCCGCGATATTCGATTATCGGAATCTAAATCAACCATCAGTTTACCTAGCCACATTTTGTACAAGCATAATTTCCCACAAAGTTACTATTTTCAGCGGGTTTTAAACATAAGCATGTTGATGTGAGTCAGCCTTAGATTCAGCAAAGATGAATTCATTTGGACTAACCAATAAGAGGGTTACATATCTAACATTATAGATCGTGGAGGCAAGCATTTCTGTTTGCTTTGAACCCGTCCAATTTAAAAAAAATGATAATTTATTCTCCATTTCTGCAAAGATGCCAAGGAAAGTACTGATAACGAGTGTATTCTTGAACATCTGATAGAAACCACCATTTTTGAACAATAATGTCTTCTAAAAAATTCTCATGGGTAAGGTAGAAGCGTTTTCGCAACCATTTTCTCGGATAATCATACAAATGTGCCTCTTGACGGATTGTCTTTTTTTCTGGCGAGGTCAAGGAGTTGCGAGTCAAAATGTATCGATATTTTCCTCTCGAGTGAAAGGTATCTGATCACCACTTATTATTTGTGGCAATCAGCTTCATCATTGCAATGCTTAGTTCTCTTCTTCTGAAATTTTCGAAATCTATCACTCCTGTCTTCCTAGTTGATCATGATGAGTCATTGTTTGCTGCACGCATAAGGCGACGCCTTTTGTCTGTCCTCCCTTTTGAAAATATCGCAACTTCAAGAGTCTATTCAACATGGTTGTAACCTATTCAATCAACGCTATTTTATTTGTCTAAGACTTTCTACCATCTTTTAGTACTTGCCCATTCAACTTTTCAGATGTCTCAATACAGCTTCTTGGCTGTACCCCTCAAGTCCACAAGTGATGTGGATTTGGTGAAACCACTCACAACATATATCGATACCGTCTTTAACACCTCAGATGACAACAGAGCAGAAGTTGTTGAAGCTGTGCAAGTGAGTTTTTCTTCTTTGTGAAGTTTGTTCTATCTGTATCAATAATCAAGCAAAAGATCTTTTTAGGAGTTGAATAAGCTGAGGTCAAAGGCTTGTTGTCAACCACTGGATAAGCATCAATCTGCTCTCGACATAGTTCTTAGGTACGTTGCATTTTGCTTCGTTTTGCCCAATCGATATGATTGCACCCACCGCTTTCATTCCCCCAACTATTACACTTTTTTTATAACGGAACCGCTTTATACATTAAGTCGTTGTTTTTTTTTTCTTTTTGTAGTGGCATTACCTAACGTTGGATGTCCTAAGAGTTTTATTGTTTGTTTCTCTAGCATTGAAAATTGGGATTTATATAGTACAGAGCTGTGCAATTATTTGCCATTATTAGAGTTGGTCACCTGAAGTAGTGTCTTTTACGTGAATTGTGCAATAAGTACATATCTTGTTTGCTCATTTCTACTTTGCATTCAGAGCCTCCTGTGCTCGTCACTGATATTTGCTTTATCACTGCACTTGTAATTCTATTTTATAGAGCAACTAGCTGCGGTCCCCGGTCCCGCCCGGGCCGAGAGTCCAGAATGGCCCAGCATAGGGTGTGCTTCAAGATGTATACTTACCAGTCCTCCACTTTCTTCAGTTCACATCTTCTGTGACTCTCCTGCTTCACCTCCTTGTCAGTTCCAGCGCTCGTGTAGTATCCGTGGTGAATAGTCTTCTTTCTTGACCGGCTCGCTTCATGACACCGCATGCTCCTCACCGCAAAATGTAAATGATCTCTACCACCCCTTACTACTTAAGTTGGAGAAATGAATGGTATAGCCTTCATTTTCCTAGATTTTAGTAAACAAAATCAATAAATCGATAGAAGGACCCAGCGAATTGTCGAAAAAAGTAGCCTATCTGATGCGCCGTGTCTCATTTATAGGGAAACAAAATTCAGCCTCTTTGGTTCACATACAAAGGAGTCTATAAGCCACAAACATCCTAACAAACACGGTACAGTGTTTGAGTTTTATATATATACTAGCTGATCTGCCCGGTCCAGCCCGGGAATGATCACTGATCGGGAATGAAGATAAGGTATTCGGTGGCATTGTAGAAACTGTGTAAAGAACAAAAACAAAATGTGAACACTTATTAGTCGGTAGCATATCTCTCTTTCTCCAAATCAAGTTCAACACGCAAAACCTAAGCAAGCAGCGCGAGTTAATTGATAGCAGCGCTCATTGTTATTATGAGGATCATTTTTTGTGACACTTTGCCGTTAACCGTCTACTTCATCTTTTCACTGCTTGCCGTCAATTTTTGTGGTGTCGGCAGTACTTTGCACTCGCGCACTTTCCTGGTCCAAGGGATCAACTATAGCGAATGTGAGTTGTCGCTTGTCTTGACATTATTTCTGGTATTGACAAATAATTTGTGCGCAATCCCATGAAAAATTTTGACCCCTCATTGTTTAAATTGAGCATGTAACGAAGAAAGCATTTATTATAAGCGTAAATTGAGCACGCTTCCGTACAAAACACTCGCTACAAAGCACTCATGGTCTCTTGCACGCTAAGGTTTCCGCATAAGATACATTTAGTGCATCCATTTAAATGAGCAATTGAGACTCACATCAAGAACACTTTTCACTGCACTTCGTCAACAGAAGTTCACAATGAGACATGCCAGCCTTGTTTACATACCCCTGTTTTGATAGCAAATGATAAGAATCATTTTTATTGCGAAGTGCTGCAAATCAATAAATCGATAGAAGGACCCAACGAATCGCTGCAAAAAGTAGCCTATCATCTGCGCAAGGCTCGAAAACATATATGTGTAAAGTTTCAGCTTAATCGGTTGAGCGGCGCGCGTTTCTATAACGCACATACCCTCCAAACTGACAATTTTTGAGTTTTATATATATATAGATTATTATCGTGTTGTCGACCGCATGAACTGGCCGTAGATTGCGGAACACACGCGCCCCGACTGGTATGTCACGAGAGTACGACTTGTTCAAGAGTGATTTGTACCGGTACAGCGTTTAGCCGCGCGGCGGGTGCTCCAAAATCTATACCGAGTCGGGGCGGTCTACGAGGCGGTATGGCATCGGCCATACTTAGCTTCAAAGCGTCCTTCAATGTCTGTAATCTCTCTTCTTTCTCACACCCGGTTCGCGCTAACCTAAAGGCGCTAGCATGCTAGCGCGAACGCGTGTGAGGAGTGGGAAATGTGAAGAGAGGTTGAGAAGATCCGGGCACTTTTGGGCTCCTGAACTAAGTCTGGCAAGTGCCTATGAGTTTATTCATGTATAATACCTGTTAGATAGTTCATTTGGACATAGAGTTCAATATATGCAATCTGGATACAGCGTTTCCCCTTCTTGTAAGTTGCGTACTCACATTATTTCCAGATATTATGATCAACTGGTTGCAATCGAAAATAAGATCATTATCTCGGCTACCCAGAATCCTGTCATTTTCAAGTGGAAAGATGCGTTTGACAAAGGCAGCCTCTTCTTCAGCAAGGTTTATATTATAGCATTTTGCATTTTTACTTACATTTCTATTTTACTTCTGAAAGAATGTCTTTCAAGGCTTCACTTTCGATATCTGATGGCTCATTTGAAAGAGCAGCTGTGCTGTTTAACTGTGGTGCTTTGATGTCGAATATAGCAGCTTCACAACCACTTCTTACTGATGAGGAGATGAAAACTGCAGCCAAGTTGTTCCAGCAAAGCGCTGGTATGTTAGTGTCTTTTGGGCTCATGGTTTTTCTCATGTGTGAATTGCAGGTGTCTTCGCACGCCTTAGAGACACCGTACTTGGGATGGTACATCAAGATCCAACACCAGATCTTCTACCTGATACGTTAGCAGCTCTTAGTGCAATTATGTTAGCTCAAGCTCAGGAAGCAATTTACATAAAAGCTTACAAAGGTACCATTTCAGTAAGATCAAAGTTACACATAGCTTGGTGTTCTTGTTAAAATTGAGCATGGAAAATTTTGCAGACAAAATGAAACCCTCCGCACTTGTCAAGATATCTGCTCAAGTTGGTGAGTTCTACCAAGACGCACAAAAGGCCATGAGCAGAGATGCCGTGAAGGGCCTGTGGGAGAAAGTAAGTTGCACAGTGTTTGACTCGGGAGAATTTATAAAATTTCATTCATCTCACAAGGCAAGGATACTCGGTCAATGTGGCTTTTCCATGCGAAGTGTCCATCTTATAGTGCATGGAACGTTGATTCCAAATCTGCTTTCCTTATCTGCAAAGCGCTTTTGAGAGGGGAGTTTTGGGAATTTTTTGAGGTAAAAATTTCATGATTTGGCTAAGATACAGGTTTCGCGATCTTTCCGGCGCTCAAAAGGCTGACTGACATGCGGGCTAGAGTTCTGAATGGTTTTATTGTAGCGGCGCTTTCAAATTTTTGCTTCACTTCCAGAACTCTCCCCTCCCAAACGCGCTTTGCAGATACCGAAAGCAATCCCAAAAATCAGCGTCCATGCTCTTAGGAACGTGTAGATCTTGTATGAAAAAACCACTTCGATCGAGTACCTTTCCCTTGTCAGAAAACATAAATTTTGAGTTTGATGAGGATGTAGCATAAGCCTTCTGCTTGCTGAAGCTATGAGAAGTTAACGATAACCATCTCTCTAATCGACAATCATGAGGATTTTTCTTGTTTACAATAATTGAAGCTGTTTTGTTTCCAGGAGTGGTCACACATCGTATCTGGAAAAGCTTTAGGATTTCAAGCTATCGCGCAAATGCATCAGGCTGACGTAAGTATGACCTGGAGCGCGTTGTGCTTTTTGCAATGTAATGTGCTTCTCTGTTCAACAGATTAATGCCGAAAATCGCGAAATGGGCGAGCAGTTGAGCAGACTTGGAGAAGCTGTGAGACTGTCCGAAATGGCAGCTAAGTACCTTCCTCCAGGATCTCTTGCCGAACAGTTCAATGCGCTTAGCAAATCGTATACTGCAGCCAAAAAAGACAACGATTTCATCGTAAGTTCTTCTCTGGCTTCTGTTAATTGTTGTCCATCTAAAAAGCATTCAGTATCATGAACGCATAGCGGATTTCCGCTCACTGCCACCTCTACCAAAGGCTGCTCTTGCAAAAGCTTTGCCAGTCACCTATCCAATGTCTCCCAGGTTCAAAGGTACGCTTAATAACCGTTTCATTTGCTTTGTTCATATCTTCTTTCCATAAACTTGCATTTTCGAGTCATCTTTTCTTTAGATATGTTTGCGAGCGTGGTGCCAGTCCAGGTTCACAATGCCATGCAGAGCTATGAGAGCCGCAAAGCTGAACTGGTCAACATTGAGACAGGAAGACTTCGAGAACATACTCAGCTTATGAACGGGTTGGTTGCAAATTCTTAGTCTCATAGAAGGAAACAACTGGAGTCATATTTTCTTTAGAATCCTAGCCTCATTGAATTTACCTGCTGCTTTGGATGATGCAACCTCGATGGACACACTTCCAGAATCTATCAAGCAGAAGTCAGCAAAGGTCTGTTTTTTCCAAAGGTTATCGTGAAAAGCTCAAGTGCTTATTGATTCGTTCTCTGTTGATCGTCTTCCTCAGGATTTGGTAGACACTGAATAATTCGAAAGAATAGCAAAATCTATTTGCGTCCATCTTAACATTGTCATGGTAACGAGAACGAAGTTCTTATGTCTCTCTGTTTAGGTCAAACAATCTGGTGGACTGAATGAACTCACTCGTTTGTTTAGTGAATTGCCTACCCTATACAAACGAAACGAAGAAATTTTGGAAGAGGTGACGCTGTCTTCTACCGATCTTTTAGTTGAAAAGGTCGAAGTTTTATTTAGACAAATCGGATGCTTAACGAAGAGAAGGAGAGTGATGATAACCTAAGACGCCAGTTCGGAACGAAATGGACGAGAATGAGCAGCGAACAGTTGACAGGCCCTCTTGTTCAGGTAAACAAACAATTTTTTTTGTTTGTGGAACAAAAACCTATCTCATTTTATAGGAGATTGGTAAATACCGTGGGATTCTTCATACTGCGTCGAACGCCGATAAAATGGTGAAGGATAAGTTTGAAGCAAACAAACCGGCCATAGAAATGCTGAGCAAAAACGAGGTAAATTTCTCAGTTTGATATTCTGCTTTGGCTACATATAACAAAAGTTAAGGTGGAACTACGAAGTTCTATTCCGAGTCAGAGCCAGCATGCTACGGAAGGTACCACTGAAGCTGTCGAGAAACTGAAGGCATTGATGAACCAAGTACAGGAGCTCAAAGTTCAACGGGAAAAGCTAGAGAAGGTTCGACAGTTGCACCTCTTCCTTTTTGGATCATTCATTGCGTGATTTAGGAATTCAAAGACGTACGCTCTGACATCGCTAATGATCTCCTGAAGGCCTTAGCTGAAAGTCAAATTCTTAACGAAGAGCAGATCTCAAAGGAGAAAATTCAACAGGCAAGTCATAAATTTTGTCTTCTCAGAAGTTTGATATCCATCTTCAGATCTACGGGCCTTTAAAAGAGAAAGTTGAGGCTAGTATCAAACAACAGGAACACATGATGGCGGAGGTTCAGGTGAATCTCTTTTCTAACTTTTGCTTAGTGTATTTTCTAGTCTATATTTGATCTTTTCCTCGTAAGGTCAAGCATTCTGAAAGCTTGTGAGAAACTGTTATACAGTAACAAGACTTGTCATCTTTTGTGTCACAACTGTGCTTGCTCCATTCTTTCATCACATAGACTAATTTCAGACCTGGAATACGCGTTTCACTGGCGACAGATCTGGTTCTGGAACGGGCGTCGAAAGGGAGCGCGTGCTCAAGATGCTTGCTGCCGGACATGACGCATTCCTTGAGCTGAAAGGAAACTTGGAAGAAGGAACAAAGGTTTGGTGATTGTTGCTTGATTGTTGTTACTTTTTCAACCAGATGTTAATGCATTCCGCGTCGAGCCTCTAATAATGCTTAGTTCGCTCTTTCATTATGAGGATTTGGGTTCGGCCAGCGAAATGGTTACTTGCAGCGAAATGCTACTTTTCAGTTTTACAACGATCTGACTCCAATATTAGTACGTCTGCAGCAAAAAGTCAGCGATTTTGTATTTGCTCGCCAAACTGAGAAGGAAGATCTCATGCGTCAAATGCAACAAAATATCGTGTCGGGAGGAGGATCAGGTGGAAGTAAGCTTTGAACTTTCCAAACATCATCTTTCTTGTTGACGAATATATGAAAAGGCTTTTAGATGCCACCCCAGCTACCCCAGCTGCACCTCCTCCTCGCCCACCGCCACCTCGTACTCAAGTAGAGGCACCAGTGCCACCACCGAGAACGCAACAGAGTTTGCAAGGTACGTGCCATCGTTCTGCAATCTCTGCTTTTTTGACTTTTATTGTAAGGGTGAATTCGGAGGACATCTTGCTTTTGATCATTGCCTCTTCACACCTAATCAAAGATTCTTATCGAGAATCTCAAACGCTAGATTTGCTTGAAAAGGACCACACGAGTTTCACTTTCTAGTGCTTTGTTTTTCGAAATAGACATGCACTTTTCAATTATTATGATTGGAAAGCGCTTCATAGAATGAGGAGTAGCTTCCGCGCAGGTTTCCATATTTCTGTTCAGTTGCTGTGTGAACTTTGCACGACTACACCTTATGAATTTCCTGCTTGTAGACTATCGCATGATGTCCTACGAATTTATCCGTCGACGACTTGTTTGCATTTGCGCATTTTGTGTATGTCCAAAATGTCTAACTTTTGCACATGTGTTGTTGAAACAAAAAAGCTCTCAAACCTATGTTGAGTGCTTGGATAGTTGTGATGTGGTTTTCATCTTCAAATTGATTCCTACAGCTCCGGGAACGCCTACATCGGCTCCTGGAATGACACCAACGCCTTCACAACAAATGATGCATCCGGGCTATTTCCAGCAGCCAGTGCCGTATGGTACGGTACTTTGTAATGCCTCTACTTCGGGTTTCCGACTTTGTTTTGTCTCATATAATTGTTGTATGCCTAACATAATCCGCTATCTCTTTATTTTGGTTCCCTCGCTAAAACTCTGGGTTATCAAGTCTTTTTCATTGGTCATAGACTTCAATTCCTTATGTTTCAGGTCAGCCACAGCCAAACCTGTTCTATCAGCCGCAGTACAATCCAAACTTTGCGAATCCCTATCCAACGTTCCCGGGAGCTTTTCCAAATTATCAGCAAGTTTATGGTCAATTTCCACCTTCGCCACAACCGCAGAATCCTTTCGCTTCGGGATACAACACTCCACAACCTCAGCAGCATCAGTAAGCAACCCTTTTGTCTCATGTACATGCCATGCCATCTTCTTTGGTAATGTTCTTCATTTTTCTAATTGACAGTTTGATGAAGTTTTTTGATAATAGTTTTGGAAATACATACATTCCTCCGTTTGTTTCATTTTTTTCATGCTTCGTCATAGCAGTGTGCAGTTCTGTTCGTTTCACTATGCCGGTTTTATTGAGGCCAGGTTACTTGTCTGCTCGAACCATCAAAATTGTAAAAAAAGACTGAGAGTAACTGCCTTTTGTGGACAGCTCTTTTGACTTCTTTGTAAACAAATGTCATTCGAATCTTCTGTTTTATTCTTTCTTACAACGTTGCTACTTTGTGATACTCTTTTTTCTAAATGATTGCTTGTAGAATGTCCGGTTACACGTGAGATAATAACGAATGGACAAAGCACTATCTTATATAGTTTGTACGCAATAAATGCTCTCATTATAAAAGCATGAAACCTCTTAGGGTTATTCCAACTGACAAAAACTATTTTTTTGGTCATCAGTCGAATGGGTTGCTAATATCAGCCTAATGACAAAAGTTTAGTTCTGGACTTCAGCGATAACAGCTGGTCTTCATCAAATCTTGGTTCATTAAGCCTATTCATATGATTTTCTCACTCACCCCATTGCGTCTCTATTGCTCGCGCTAGTGGTACGTTTAGCGCTGGCAAATATGCCAGTTCGGGACCTAGTTTGCTAGTAACAGAAACACTCCAAGTTTAATAACTTCCATGTTTATTATCTTGACTTGCGAGAAAGAATTCTACCAAGAAAGATGTTCGAAGCCTTCTGGATCTCCGCCAAAGACCCAGAAATAAATAATAAGAATGAGTGCCCGTCTAACAGCAGACTTCTTACCCTTCGCATCCTTGTGTCAGCTATAAAGTGTAGATAAAATGCATCACATACACTCTACTGTACAGCTCAGTCGTCTGCCACGTCAGTCACTTCCGGCGGACATCACATATAGCGGTGGTGCAAGGGTAGGTTCATCTCCATGTTGCCATTTTCGTGAAGTACATTGGGGACGACGCCGAAGCTCAAGATTTGATGGAGCATTTGGTGGCATGGTGTTACAGATCATACTTTGAATCTTCGAGGCCTCTGAGGATGACGAACCCGTTGAGATTTAAAGGCAGTAGATCGGCAGAATGAGACCCGTGACAAAACAAGGTCACAGGGTAGGAGCCCCCATATGGAACCTATCGTCCAAAGTCCGGTCATTCTCTGCCACTTCCAACCCCCGAGATTTCAACGCGGAAGCAGCGGCCCATCTCCTGTATTCTCTGGCCCGCCCATCCCATGGCCGATAAGTTGTATATGGGGGCTCCTACCCTGTGACCTTGTTTTGTCACGGGTCTCATTCTGCCGATCTACTGCCTTTAAGGCCAATCCAAAAGCTGCCATTATAACAAACCTTGTATGTTACAACAGAATGGAAAAGTTACAACTACAAGTTTACTTTGGCTTCTTCTCTGGCCATCTTCGGTATTGCTAAATCAGCGAAAGCAGATGAGCTCAAATATTAGTTGACGGGTGAGTATGATATATCGCTGTAAAGTCTTTTTCTGTCAGTCATTAGAGGGTGATGCATTTAGATTCCCAGGGACTCCATAGCAAGGCATATTTGGCGTCATGCAATCTTTGTGAATGAATTATTTTGTTTCACAACACCCGCCTATACTTGTGAAAAATGTAGAGAACGTCATCGGAATAGAAACAGTGTGCACTTATCCTTGCACTCACGTCCTTGAGATTGCGTGAGAGGTTATAATTGTTGTGTCGGGTGTCAGTCGCCGAGACGAATATCAGGAAACTGGTTTTTTCTGCAAACTTTTCTTCAAAATTTTTCTCGGCTTTGGTAAAGGACATGTAGAAGTAAGGGATCAGAAGTTATATCCAGTCTACCCTTAACAAGAGTATTCGTAGCAATTTCAGAATAACTAAATAGCAGTGGCGGTCCCAGGATTTCAGTCCGGGGGGGGGGCAAAAAAACTTTTCCAATGGCGCGTGGATTAGCCACGCACCCGAAAAAATTTCTGGGGTAGTTCTCAAAATTTTTGTGGGTCCCCAACCCCTAAACTCTGGAAAAAGGGGGCGTGGCGTCAACCACGCCCACGAAAAAAATTTTTTACAAGGCTAATTTGAATTTTCAAAAATTTGTAAAAATTGTTTTGATTGTTCAAGAATATACAAGTCGCTTGCTTTTATAACTCACATAAGTAATTTTCAAAGACTTCGCACCCATTCTCGCCCCCCTAAAGTACAGTTACTTTTGAAAACTCGATTTATAGAAAATCCACTCTCCGGAGGTTATCCCAACGCTGAATCCGAAAATCCACATAAGAAGGCGCGAAAACAGCGAGAACAACAGGGGGCCACTCTCGCATGACACTGAAATCCCAAAACCGCCATCTTGCCCGGACACTGCCTATAAAGGCAGCGTCCAGCCAGTTCTGGAAATATGGGGATTTTATGAGGAAAGTAATTTTGGAACCCTAACTAACAAGGGAAAGATGGTTGATCGAAGTGGCCTTTTGAGATGGGTTGTATACCTTGTTGGAGGGCATAGAACGCTGATTCCATATCTGTCTTCATATCTGCGGCGCGTTCCTGACGAGAAGTTATAAGCGTTGATTGGGGAAAGTTGAATGTGCAAATAATATAGAACAGTAGCAACATTTTCCTGGCGCTTAAACGGACCTATGGTCATTTTTCAAGCACCCTATAAAATAAATACTCTTAGATGAGATCTATCTTCACTCCGCTGTCTCATTCAAGCGTTGCAAAAATTTGTGCAAGTTTTTTATCCTAGAAAACATTTTTTTGCTCCTTCAAACCGTTCATAACTCCTCGTCAAGGAACGCTCGCTAATAAGGAGGATAGATTTGAAATGAACACTTTACGCCCTCCAAAATCGTATACAAATCATCGCAAAAGGCCATTTCAATTGACTATCCTTCCCTTTTGAGACACTGCCCAGGCGGCAGCTCATATGGTGTACCCACGGCTAGATATTCGCCTCGAAAGGATCGTATTCGCATGGATTCATGGCACAACCATCAGTTTCGCATAGGGCCTCGTATTACTTTCCACATGAGATCTCCGTATGTCCAGAACTGCATGGACGCTGCCTTTAAGCCTAACATGACAGAAAAAACCGCAAATTCTAGAAATGACTTGAGACAACTGCATGAAGAAGAATAAAAAGTGTCGTGTTTTTCAGTTTGCATTAGCTGTGCAATCACAGAAATAGTGCAATTGCACACAAAGCTGAAGCGAAATGTGCACTACTGGAAACACTTCCAAGAAATGGAATAGACACGAATGATCTCGCATCAGAACAGATGCTAGATATGTGTATGGTACATTTGTGAGAATATAAGATCATTTCATTTCTGATTTTCCAAACTGATCTTTTATACTTACTAAAATGGTTTAACTTGTCCTCCTCTCACGTGTTTCACCAAGCACGTGCACATAATCAAAAATGTGACCCCAAAAAAGGAAGCGGGGGGAAGTTCTTTGAATCCGTTGCATAGCCGTAAATGAAAGTGTTGGTCAGAAATACTACTATAGTTTCATTGTTATATGCTCAAAATTGTCTGTCAAGAAACACGATTGTTTCTTCATTGATTTTGGCCGCCAAACTTAATAGAACCGAGTTACAGATTTTGGTTATATTTTATGAAGGGCTTTTTTTCTTGGCAGCTGTATTCGCCCATCGAATAGAAATTTTCTCTGAACGATTATCCTCAAGGCATTACTTTCACCACACAAAGGCTATGCTCAGTTCCTCCAGAAGTTATTTATGTTCTGCAAGGCGAAAAAGGAAACTCGCATACTTGACCACCTGTCCAAATTCACAGTTTCTTCCAGTTCAGTCCTCTCTAACCAAAGACTCTTCACTTGGAGGGAACTTGGACTTTTTGGAAAGGGTTCATCTAGATTTGACATTGAAATTTTCATGGGGTAGAAGCTCGACCACATTACTAACACATCCACGGTACGAAACACCGGTGGGTGGAAGGTGAAAATCTGTTTCTCGCGGGTGAGGGAACTCGTGGTGGATCCTCCGGGGGTTGGTTCCATATAAACCATCAACGTGGCTGTCTTCCAATCATTTCAACGTGACAACCTCGAATAAGCGCCTCAAATTTGCTGGAATTAATAAAACGATCGAAAGGCAGCCATATTGATAGTTCATATGGGAACAATTCTCGGGGATGCACGATAAAGGCACTTGCCGCAACGTAGTTATGGATGTCATGAATTTCCAGCAAAGCTAATTAGCAACTATTTTAAACCGTAGCAGAGCTTTTTTTTGCACACGGTAGCTTGTCCTTCTGCTATGGGACGCTGTATACATGAAAACTGGATTTATCTAGAAGTTCGAGGCCAAGTTCAGGCAAGATTTTCGTGCGATTGGGTTGAAAATTGGTATCTAAAGGTTCTCAATCATGGTGTTTTCTAATATGCTTGTGTTGCTTGAAAACTCAATATTTTCAGACTGTTGTTTGCTAAAGAAATGAAGTTGATAAGAAATTGAAGTTTTAGCAAATTCTGAGTTTTGAAGTTGACTTCGTCTTCGAATAAAAATTTTTTTTAAGTTCCACGTTTTAAGCAGAATCACCGGCTTATTTGGAAACACCGTGCAGAAACCCAAACGTATCTTTCAAATTTGCAGTAAAATTTATTGAAAAGAATTATTTGTGTAAAATTTTGTCGTTTCAAGTAAAATATCAAGCATACTCGGGAACACCGTGGCAGGAAGCTCTAAGTATTATATTTGATTGGTTAAAAGTAATGCGCGTTTTTTTAACCCTGGTTTCAGGAAGCTGTTTAAAACCAAACTTCCATTTTTGAAAAAGACAGCATACTTTCAAGAAGCTCTTTTCATGCTTTATCCAATGGTGGCTGCAATTAGCTTTTAAGTTTCTAGCTCATTCGTCAAAAATTTGCAGAGCTTCACACAGCCGCACTCGAAAACAGAATTTCATTGCATTTGCTTTTCTGGCCAGAATTCTAGCGCGAAAGAGATTATTTTTCTGAAAGTTCAGCTACTATGTATGGTAGAAATTTTCTAAATTACGCATACTTTCTATTTTCTTAGAAGTCATCTAGACTGATTGTGAGATATCAGCGTCTCAACATGGATAGTCGTTTTAGTGATTCTGTGTCCCAATTTGTTCCAAAGAACGCAATCGCCAAAGCTCTGTTCTTTTCTAAAAGCATAAAGGTAGACCTCCTATTGACAGTTTTTACAAAAAAAAAAGCTTAGCTGTTTACGCAAAAAAATCAAAAAACTTCATGTTTTGGGATTTTAAGGCCTACAAAAAAATGTTGAAAAAAAAACTGACAATTTTGGATTTTGATTTATTCCTTTTCGCCAATCTCCTGTTTGAACCCTTTCCATCTATTTTTGTACTACCGCCTTGTGGCTAC